CAAATAAACCTTCCATGTGGCAAATTTATCTGCATGCTTGTAATTCTAAAGATGCATAATATTCCATCCCGTGGCTATGACATCTGTTATTCAGCCATTCGCCTATCATTGGACATTTATGGTGCTTACAAATTTTCATTCTTGAAATATTATGAACTTTCAGTGCATATAGTATTTTTGGTGATCTTCCTAGGATAATTTTCTAGAAGTTTCCCAAGGAAAACAAAGTCAAAAGTGATGACTCTTGCATGGCTCTTAAAAGTTACATCAAAATTGCTTTCCAGTAGGTTTGTACCAATTTACAGTGATGCCAGTGAAATATGAGAGGTCCAAGTTTATCACATTGTCAGTGCCATTCGAGTCAACCTTTTAGTTTGTTAATTTAATATTTTAAAAAGTTTCTTATTTTAATACATATTTTTTTTCGATATGTATTTTCCTTTATTATTTTTTCTTCTGGGAAATGCTAGTTCATGTCACTTGTGCAGTTTACTTTTGGGGGGTTGTTGTCTGAATACTTTTTTTGTTCCTTTTCATGGGCTGTATGTATACCAGAAAAGTTAACCATCATATTTACTGTGAATATTTTCCCCTGCCTGTTTGTTTTCAATTTTTGGTCATCCTGTCATCTAAAGCAATTTAACATTCTTATATGGTTCAAGTCTTTCCAATGTGATTTCTCCTATCACCTGTTGTCTCAGTAAATTCTCTCCAGGGTATTTTCCCAGGGCTTTAATAAAGGATTCAATTCTGCTTTACCTTCCTAATTTTATTTTCTACATCTAATTATTTAATCTATTCATTCTGATGTATGAAATGTAGGTGAAATAGATTTGTTCCTTAAATGCTAACTAGTTAAGGCTCCTCCCTTAAATATATTTGAAGCCTGGCTGGCGTGGGTCAGTGGCTGAGTGTCCACCCCTGTACCAGGAGGTCACTGCTGGATTCTCCGTCAGGGCACATGCCTAGGTTGTGGGTTCAAATCCCCAGGGTGTGTGTGTGTGTGTGTGTGTGTGTGTGCGCGCGCAGGAGGCAGCTGGAATCATGACTCTTTCATCATCAATGTTTCTCTCTCTCTCCCTCTCCCTTCCTCTCTGAAATCAATGGAAGGAACCCTTGCATAATGACTAGGACAGTAGGCCTGTGCCACAGGAAGAGTTCTTGTGTGCCGGGCACGGTTCCAGGCTCCGGGGAAGGTACAGCCCCAACAGATGAGGAACGTTGAGCGGCTCAGTGAGAACAGAAAAGTGACAAGTACCGGAATGAAGTGTGGGACTGCACCTAAATGCCCAGTGTGTTTTTCACTCTGCCCTTTCCCTTCGTAAACATAAACACTGGG